ATCTTAAATCTTAATATAAGATACATTATTTTATATCTTATTATAAGATATATTATTTATATATTAATAGAACATATATTATGTTATCCTATATTATTATCTTACCCAACTTGCTTTAGAACATTTCTTTGCTGTGCAAATAACATTTTTAGTCTAATGTGACACTCTCAATAAACTGTGTAAGATCTTGGATCATAACAGGACTTCCAATGGAATCTGTCCCAGTATTATCTATCTATCTATCTATCTATCTATCTATCTATCTATCTATCTATCTATCTATCTATCTCTGCAGTATATATATATATACACACAAAAGAAGTGCCATGGCAGTGTGTGCAACTTCAGAAATACATTAGTAAATCAGTGTGTCTACCTTTAGATACAGTCAGAGCTGGTGACCATTGTGACCTCAGGATATCCAGACAAATACTCCCATTACTGTTTATGTTTGGGTGATATATTTTTGTTGTAAAAGCAATCTGTAATAAAGAAATAAAAACCAAAGAACATCATAAATTATGTTTATTACAGCTGGAATCCTTATCATCATCCCTTCCTTTCCAGTCATACTAGATCTGCCAACATGATTCATTTAACAGTCTTAGTATGTTAAGGGGTTGGAATGGACCTTAGAGATCATCTAGTCCCAACCCCCTGCCCTGGGCTGGGACACTTCCCACCAGAACAGGTTACTCAAAGCTCCATCAAGTCCTATCTATTCCTCCACTATGAACATATATCCTATTGTTGGTCCTTCTGGTTTGAACTTCCAAAATTAAGCCTCAAAGAACTAACACAGAGAAACAAAGCTTTGGCCCAAAATAAGTTGGAAGAAAGGACTTACCTTTGGTGGTTTGAAGGGATAGTCTGTTGGAAAGTGTACTGTGAGAAAAAACACTCCCCCTTGATAGGCACTATCAGGCTGGGGAAAAAAACACAACAAATAAGACACATTAATCTATTTCAGCTGTTTGGAGGTTCCTTTCAGAATGCAGATAACCTCCCAAAGCTGTGAGTGTGTCACAAAATCCATTTTTTCCCCACTGTGGGCTGTGTCCTGGGAAGGCACAGAGGGAATGGAACCCTCCCGCTGACCTGCAGAGCCCCAGCAGAGCCAATAATGATGGCTACTGCAGGGCACCACACAGCACTGGGGAGAGCAAGGGAGGGATCAGTGTTCCACTGCTGGAGCTACAAATTTGCAGATCCACAGCTCCATTGCACTGAGGGGAAGAGAAAAACCAGAGCAGGTCCTCCAAATCCTGTCTCCGTGCAAGACCACAGCTGCTCTGCTCCTCCTCCATCCTTAAGCTACAAATATACTTACCTTAAGAAGTGGTTTCTCTTTGCAGACGCAAAGAGTAGGATTTTCCAACATAATTCAGGTCATCATGATGACATCAGGGAGTTTTAAAACACACAACATCTTTGTGACCTGCACAAATCTGTGAACATGCATTTTGTTAGCAAACATGTGCACAGGTTTACGTCCAGGTTGCACACAGTTCATAGAGAGAAATAACTTGGCTGTAGTCTCTTTGTGGCCTCTTTCATGTTTATTAACTAAAGGAGTCAAAAGTCTTGATGCTAAATCCTAGAGAGCTTCACTTCTGATTAAGGGAGAGAAGAAAACCACTCTCATTGCGTGGTAAAACAGCAACTTAGGAACTCAATCTCAGCAAAGCTGCAGAAGATCAAGTTTCTGGGGGTCTGGTCTGCTTTGAAATCAAATATTTACCTTTCAAATGAACAGTTTGAGAGATCACTCTATGACTATACGAGGTAAAGTCACAAATGGTCCACCGAGACATGCTGTCTTACACACTCAGAGTGCAGCCAGTGCTGCAGTATAGGGCAGGTTATATATAGTCATGCTAAGAAGTCAGCATTAGGTAACAACAGAAGAGATTGCTGCTGGCCTTCCGATTAGGCTGGAAAGGACTGCCTGCATGCCTGCTAAAGGGATTTGTCAGAGGGAAGAGAAGCTGAAGATGAGACTAGTTCAGTGTTGGAGAGAAGGCAAAGTGAAGTCACATTATGTTTTACGACCAAGGGATAAAACCAGACTGATGGTACCCACAGACAGAAGAGGCTATGCCACACGTAAGTGAATTCTGAATCTTTAGTCTGTGTTTCCCTCAGGCCACCAGGAAACATACAGGATGTGCATCCCTAATTCCTTTTGTTCTCAGGAGAAAGGATTAACCTCCTGACAGTGTTCTGTTCTTGTATTTCTGCAGACATGGCTGAGAAAGGTTGGCAAGAGATGCTCCTTAACTACAGACATCTGAGGGACCTGAAGCAAAGAAAGTATTTTCCACTACAGAGTATGAAAGATGAACTGCAAGCTGGGAAAGGAAATGGAATTGAAGCCAGCCAATATTTCCCTTACTCAGGTCTAATGGTTGGACTTGATTATCTTAGAGGACTCCTCCAACCTTGATGATTCCATGATTCTAGGTCAGAGTCATTCAGGATGGAGACACTACTGGTGGCAATCAGCAAATGAGCTTTTGTTAGCTCTTCTCTGGTGCTTTGCCATTCCTCCTTCAGCAGTGCAAGGGTCAGAAGGACTTTGTGTGAGAGAGAACACAGTTGTTCAAGAGAAATGGCAAAAGCATCAATATCCTGCAGGAAAGCAGCTGCTGCTGGGCCACTGACAAGTTGGACAACAGCCTCCAGCACACCAGATTAGTAACTGATCTTTCTCTGCCTCAGAGCTCCTGTGCCAAAAATGCAGAAATGGTCACAAATCAGCCACAGTTCTACTTTTCTCTACCATGTGATGCTGCATCTTAATGGATCAAGTATTACTCCAACATTTCACCTCACACAGTGACTCAGCTCAACCCTGAACCAGAGACTCTTCCTTCCAAATGAATAAATCCAAAAGGGAAACACTAGGGATACAAACTGTGTACCAGGATATTAATAAGTACAACTCCCCTCAGAGCATGTTGCTCTTTATTTGTTCAAATTCCTTTCAATTTTCCTTTAAAACTTTCTGGTTTTAAGCTTTATTGTCCTTTCTTATGTCATTTCCTTGGCAAGTCTTAACTGGGATCTTTACAGATCTTCACAGTGCTTTTCCCTCAACCCAAGGAAAGCACCTTTTTCACACAGAAACCACCCACAACTGCTGCCCTACAGCTTGCAAAAACCATCTGCTTGTGCCAGAGCCACATCACAGCCACCAGATAAAACAAGCTCTACCTAAAAGCCCAAAAATCACCCTGTGCAACTCTACTCCTGTTCACAGACACTTTAACATTGCATTTCACCCTTCCAATATTGGGTGGAATAGTCTTCTTCTTCCTCCTTAAAGATGCATGAACCTTTCAGAATTGATCTGATCACCTGTGAAAAGCTCTTGGCTTGTAGCCCAACCAACTCATACACCACAGCCGATCAAGTACCTCTAACTTCATGAAGAGGATGGGCTTTTGAACAGTTACAGAGAGCAACTAGCATCAGACTGCTAAGAACACCAACCTCACCCTAAATCTTTAATCTCTATGCAGCACAGTGCCTAAATGAAACCTGAATGAATCTTTTCATCACAAAAAGCTTAGTAAGACCTTACTTTCTAAGGGGTATGAATGATATACTTACAGGTCCCATAATAGTTGCTTGCCAATGAAACACTGAAAGTCAAAAAAGATACAACAATTAGAGGCTTTCCCACCTTTTTATGACTGACAAAAAAAGGCCAAATCTGACCTATGAAGAGCTTACAGTCATCTCCCACAGGTCCAGCGGAGCAGTGGGCTGGAGGATCTCGCTGCAGGTCACTCAGCTCCTGCAAGAAACACACAAACATTTCAGACATCTGCATGACAACAGACTCAGCACCACCCCTTCAACAGCGTGAACACACAGATTTTATTAAAATAGACCTTTGGGGTGGAGTTTTTTCGTGGGATTTTGATACAATAATCAACACCTGAAATGCCCTTGGGGACTGAAGAGGTTTCTTTGCCAGATGTTCTGCAGCTAAAGACAACACTGTACTAGAAATTGGTAGCTGAAAGTATTTAAGAGTTGTAACCAAGTTCATAATAAGTGGAATATACTGAAGTAGACAGGGGGAAAAAAAGGAAAGGGGTTTTGATTTGTCTGTAAACTCACTGTTTAATTTAGAAAGTTCTGTGCTAATCTGATTGTTCCTTTAGCTAAGGATTTTACAAACTTTCTGTACTGGCCTGATCAATGTGCATTACCTGAGCTAAACTAGCACATAAAATGCTTGGAGATGATCTACAAACATAACATAAAGGTTCCTAGCTAACCTAGAAACTAAAGGGAAAACTTTAGCTTTACACCTCATTTGTCATACATTGATTTAATTCCCTCATGCTTCTTGTTCCAAATGACTACTAAAAAACTCCCTAGAAAGTTGAAACTTTAGCATCCAGAGAAGCTTTTGCAGGTGATTTATTTCTCTTGCAGGAGACCGCAGAGTCCCAAGTCATTTAAAATTATCATCTGATTCCACAAAACCAGCTCAGCTTTTCACCTGATTTATCATCACTATATCAAACACATTAATGTAAGTTCATTGTCCTTGTTTAATTCAAAATTTTGATGTCTAAACTTTTACTGTACTAAGAACAAACAACTTTTTCCAACTCTGGGCTGATAGGAGCTGTGCTGAGGTAACTTTAATGTGTAAATGCTTCCACTGAAATAAGTTATGTGTGGTAAATCACTGTCTATAAGTAACTCACTAACTTATCTGTAAGTAACTCAATAACTCTTAAGTAACTCAATTTAATTATTCAAAACATCCACATTTAAGTCCACAATAGACATAAGCAGGTCTGCAGTTTACCTTTAAGGAGTAACAGTGGAAACATTTCTACTCCAAAAACATTACTCAAGGCAACTACTTCCAAAATCAAGGTTTGAATTGGAGCTAAGTTTAACTCAAGTGCAGAATTTGTGTACTTAATTTGAAGGGATAAAACTGCACACTCTCAATTGCTGTGATGTATTTTTCCATTTATTATAAATATTTCCAGCAAATAACTCAATTTTCCATGGATCTTGCACCTAAATTGAGGCACATTCCTTGCAGGTCCACTCTTGGCCCTGAGCTCAAAGGAAAGCACTGCAACATATCTTACTACTGCTCTGAAGTCACTGCTCACAGTCCTTGTGATTGGAAACAAGAGACACTTCTTTCATACGCTGAAATAGCTCAAGTTGCCAACTAGCATTACTTGCCTGCACTTTAACCTTATCCTGTTGGTGAAGCTGCAAGCTGGCTCAGAAACAACACACTGGGCTAGGCTTGAGCTAATAAAGGCAACAGCAAAACCCTTTCAAAGTGCAGTTCCCATTTTAACTGGAGGATTCAAGTTTCACCCAGGACTGATGCAGAGAACCAGCCATATCCATGCAAAGCCACTGGCAGCACACACAGGGAGTCAACAAGGCTCAAGTTTCCAGCAGCCCCCAGAGCTGTCACAACAGGAACAGCAGCAGAGCTGTCCCAGTCACTGTCTGCTCTAATTTGTAGCTCCAGATCTAACCTAACAAGAGAAGATGAAGCCTTGTACACTGTGGTGGCTACATGAGGTTGTTTGCCAACACAGAGAACTCAAGAGAGTGAAAATCACACATTTTAGAGCAGTCAATGCTGACTACTAAATTCAAGGCAATGATGGGGGGAAAATACATAGCTTAAACTCTTCAGACAGACTCTAAAGTATGTGTAAACATTCCCTATGCATATGCAAACTGCTAGGCAAGCACCTAATTTTAGAGCAGCAAGTCCATAAGAGCACTCCTGTTTGCTAGGTGTTTTCCTTCAGGTCTTTACATACCCCAAACCCACACGAATTGGTTTTCTTTCACACGCACATGTGCTTCACAGCTGGCAGAACTGGGGAGGCTCCTTGGGTATAACACGTTCAACTTGCTCAGACTAAAGGCACTGAAATTTGTTCATGATAAAAAAAAAAAGCCATTTTTAATCATACCTTGATGAGACCCAGAACTACCAACTCCTGCTACTCATATTTCCTAATTACAATGAAGAAAAGGCTCTCTTCAACCAACTTCACTACGTGACAGCAATGTTCACAAATCCATCCAGAGAGCTTCTGCAACTAGGAAACATCAAGCCAAGCCAAAGTTCAAAATCTCAACAGAGCAAATCCAAGCCATATTTTGCAGCCATATGAAATTACATACTGAAGCTAATGTGGTTTAAAAATACAAGTGGTAACATGATCAAACTTTGCCAATTGAAATGGACAGGATGAACAGTTCGAATCCGTATATACAGAAATTCAGATCACACTGTAATAAAACAAAGAACTGTTCACCTTTAATACTGTTAATTATATAAGCTTCAGATTCAAAGCAAAATTATCTGGAAAGATGTAAGATTTAGGCTTTGATCTTCCCTACATCTTTTGAAGTGGTGCAAGGAGACAGTCAGGATGTCCCTGAGTCAGAGTATCATAGTATCTTAAGGGGTTGGAATGGACCTTAGAGATCATCCGGTCCCAACCCCCTGCCCTGGACAGGGACGCCTCCCACCAGACCAAGCTGCTCTAGGGTTTAGCCAACCTGGCTTTGAACACTGCCAGGGTTGGAGCACTCACCAGTGACTTGCCAGTGCCCAGACCCAAACACTGCAGAAGAGGTGTGAGGATTCTCCGACGTGGATGTACAAAAACTGCTTCATGACTTTACATATCCACAAAAGAATGAGATGTTGAATGTAAGAATTCTCTACACAAAGCTGAGATGCTCCATAAGAAGGCTCAAACTTTGCTTTGTCAAGGGACAAAGCTGAAGACTTACAAACATGAATGTACTGAAACTCACCAAGAAGTACAAGAGAACTGTGAGGCACTACACAGCCAACACTAGAGATTCCCCTGTCATTTTAAGTCAATTAGTTCCAGCAGCTTTATGGGACATCATCATGCAGCTGCATGACACAGGTCTGGTCACTCCAAGGCCTAGTCTACATGAATATTTTCAGTCTCCGGGATAGAAAATGCTGGTGCAAGACTTTGATGTCCATCTGCTAACAAACAGGATCTGTAGCTCAGAGGAAGTCACCACTACCAGTTACATTGTACACCAGTGCAACATCTTGGATAAGAGTATACAACCCCAAAACTTTGTCTGCATCAGAAATATCAGTCAATTCAAATACAGCATAAAAGCATCTGTGAGAGCTCCAACACACCCACACTATCTCAGTCCAGCCAGGATCAATGTGCCCAGAGAAAATAGCAATAAATCTAATCCTCTCAAACATGCAAAATATCCCAGGGTAGGACAGAATAGTGTTGGATTGAATACTTCTGGAGAGGGATACAGCAAAGCCTCCAAATTATCACCTTTCCTTGCACCACATACACTCCAGAACAGCAGCATGAGGCCAAAATTGAAGACTTAAGTTTAACAGCTGTGAAACAAAGGTTATGGTAAGCGATAAATGCTGGAGATATTTCTGAAGGTGCAGCCTAGTATTTATGGTCAAAGAATAATACAGGATGTATTTCATGAAGGTATAAAGCTGGTGAAGGCTGCAGGGCCAATTTAACATTTATATGCTTGATTAGCAGCCAGACATCTCTCCCAAAGAGCTACGGGAATGAGACAGTAAAGGATAATTTGGTAACAAGGAGAGAAATGTTCTCAGCATAGTACTCAGGGACACTCAGTGACTATGAGCATGAGCAGTAACAAAAAAAACAGCACCAAAAAGCCCTAAAAATGTCCTCTTTTTTCATTAAAAAAAACAGAATAAAAAAAGGCTGCAGACTATCAGAAGACTAAAATAAACCATGCAGGCAGCATCACTCAAAGCTATTTTCGTTCTCTAATCGACACAAAACCACACCCAGAACCCTTTTCCACACTGTTATTTAAAGTATAGAGGTTTATATTTGTCAGCTATGTCCGTTTGTTGCAGACCACAGACTCATTTCCCACCAGCTCCATGTGCACTGCTGCTTGGAACCATTTCTCAACAAACCCCACTTGAGACTAGTTAAAGGATTCTCTGCTCTTCATGAATTTGCTAAATGCAAAGCAAATATTTATCATAACATTTAGTGATATAAAGGTTAGTCAGTAATATATTCTATTTACATATGTTGTTTAAATGCAGCAAAAAAAATTGCTGTGATGTCACAGCTGATGATTTGAAAGCAAATGAAAACATTTTATGTTAGAGCCAAAAAAGCTTCTTCAGTATGTTCATCACCATCTAGACATGTGACTCCATAGTTAATAGTCAAAATCTAAACCACAAAAATTGATAAAACTTTATTTAATTTACAGTAACAAGTTGTTTTCAACATGTATTTTCAAGTCTCTATGTCCTGTTAGCCTGCACATGTAGGAAACACATCCTGAAACAAACAGACATACAGTTCATTCAAATAACTAAGTGTTTGAATGCTTCTATTCTGAGTTGTAGGAGAAAAACAATCAAGCACTACACCCCAACAAGATAAAAACAACAGCTATTTTTAAGCCAGTCTTCAAATGTATCTCTTCCAACTGGTTTCAAAAATCTCTTCTCAAATCCCTTCTAAATCCAATTTTTTATGCCTGTAACAAAAGGAGGTATTGCAAAGCAGCCTGAGCCATTCACAACATCCCCATTGACACTGGAGGAGCTCCCAGGACTACAGGATTGATGGAACAAACAATCTCTCTCCTCAGCTGTGACATGGAACTGACAGGACAGCAATTAGGTGTCTGAACAGAGGATTGGGAACAGGAATCCTGGAAAAATGGTTCTGCAAAAGGCAGAATTGACCT